GTTGACTCGAGCTTGACATTTTGGCCTACATATTTCCTATCTACTCCTAAAATTTGGTAGTAATCTTTTCCAGTTGCAACAATTATCATCCTACTTTCTTGTCCATCATTTTCCTTGTTCTTGTTTACTAATTTTAGTATCTTTCAAGTTGATTGCCATAACAACACAAATCAGTTAGTTAAGTTATTCTTTAAATATAAACTGCTTGAACTATTTAAACCTACATTTAAGCTTTAATTTGAAGCACCCTTCAAAAAATTGTAAAGAAAATTTTGAAAATGATCGGCGAAAAAATATTCTGCAACAAAAACCAAAGTATTGGTATATATTACCAAGAATTTCAGGGGTCAATAGTTTGTTTAAAATCACAATTGTATTACATAACGTGATCACGATATTATTTTTTTTTTCTTAGGATTGATTACCATTACCTTTAGATAAAAATAGTTAATATGAAGCTAATTTACATTAGGTCTACAATGGAACCCAAGAATTATAGCACCATTAGAAGTATTTTGAAGAAGGAACAAGGTGAAAAATTTGCACCTTACATTTTCAAAATAGGCAGTTTCTATTTGTACACTACGTGTGTAAGCACGGTGTTACGTTGCGCATTATTTTACATTATATTGGTTCAAAATCACATTGGATCATCCCATCATTTGATTTAAACAACCTTTTTTGGCCATTTTTGGGAAGTTGAACAAGTGCCAACCACACAATCTCTAACCATTACTTTATTTTATCATATCAGATTATCCCATCATTTTCACAAATCAACCTTGTCTTGTGTTATATATACGCACATGCGAATCATATGTAAGATGCAAAATGAAATGTTACGTGTTTCAGGGTGTCCCAAACCCTCAAGCAAAACATTCACTCTAAAAAAGTTTAAAAAAAAGTTAATTTTTTTTATTGATGCAAATTTTATTATGTAATGCGCGTGACACGTCTACATACACTATGTGTTTGCTAAGAAATTTTCTTCAAAATAAATGATACTCAAACACTTGAGCTTATCTAAGAAAAGGAAGGATTACCTATGAAATTTACCAAGAAAAAATAATAATAAATGTTGGAAAAAGAAAGTATCATGAGACTCTTAAAGAACTTAGAAGGAAACATAACTAGATAAATCAATGTCCTCCAGTCCACTAATTAATATACTCAATTAATAGAACTAAATATATCGTGTAACGTCTGAAAAACGAAATAAAAATAGTAATAAAAAAGAAATTATATTCGTAGCGGTTTTAATTGTTACACTCATGTTGAAACATTATAAAAACATCACTGATTCGAATATTGAACGTTGCATCCATGATGAATTATTCCAATAGTACCATACTGGAATTGTTTTCTTATCAATATCACGAATACATTTTGGATTTTTATACTTATGAATAAATACAGCTGGCAATTTATGAGAACCAGTTGCATTACATGCAAGCATTATTGTAATTCTATCTTTAGGTTTTTTGTGCCAGTGATAGGACCACTACTGAGAGTTGTTGGGTTCTAACTCCCAATAGAGAGCAGTTTCGTCAGCATTATATACATCATCAAGTCATATAAAGATTTTAATTTAGCTCTAAATTCTGGTAAGTCATCAATTGGTGTACTTGCTGTTTCACCCACTTTGTAATGTTCTTTTACACCTTTTATTTTTTTTAAAATTTGTAAGCCATCCCTATTAAATAGTAAATAAAATGATTAAAATAAAATGAAATTTAATAAATAAAATAATCAAAAAATTGATACTTACTTGTGAGGCTGTAAAATCCAATAATTTCGAGTCTTCTAGCATAATCCAGTGCCTTTTGACAAATGATGGAACCAGTTATGGTATAATTGG